CCCTTTACTAGTGCGTTTACAGGGGCACGTCATATAAACATTTCACAAGTCATTTTCTTCGAGATATTATTTTTAATATTGTTTTGCTTTGACTCCAAAGTATGTTTACAATTACGAGATTTCTTCTGTCAAATATAAACAAACACAGCGCTTCCACACTGCACAAAACCTGACGAGCCCCTGTAAACTCATTAGTGAAGGGGACTGTACGTGTCTTTCTTGTTCGCCTCCTGTACCTATATCAGCACCTTTTACAAATGTCTCCTATGTAACCACACGAGTTTCTCCGCCCCTTCCAGGTGAATACGACCGTAGTGGGTACACTACGCCCACTCCCCCAACAACCATGCCTCCCACGTACTTCTGCGCTGATGGCTGGACTCGCCGTGGTGAGAGCTGCTATCAGGTCAGTGTGGTTTACAATTACTCTATTTCTATTTATGTATGATCAACTAGACCGTCAGTAGGTTATTTAATGGCATCCCAAGGTCTCTTTTCTGGTAATATAATATCATCTTGTCCATCAATCTTGTAGAGCGCCGTACCTCTTAAAGTTTTACTGACGATGCAGAATTATGACAGTTTAGAATAAAAATAAAATCTCCCTAACGGGCGAGAAGTGGCTTGATTAAGTAATTAGGGAAACGAAAGGATACATACCTGTAAAGCTGATTTGGAGACTTTACTTTTGTTAAGTAGCTGCCTAATTGTAAAAGAACATGGTGTAGGTCAATGTGTATACTGTGTATTCATTTATATAATGTTTTAAAAATAAACAAAGAAGGAAAATAGGAATAATTGGTAAAGGGTAACGTCGCTGAGAGAGTCTTCAAGTCTTAACTCAAACTTCTGTGTTCAAGATGAGGTTTGCTTTAGTTTGGGGACAATGGATAAAGTTAAGTCACTTATCACTTGCTCTTCAATAGTACTGGGGAACAAATGTTAAATAAATAATCATTATTTCTGGAACAATCATCAGCTTCGATGATAATGATTTATCCATCAGAAGTTGAAATTTAAACATAAGTACATAAGAACATAAGAATGGAGGAAACTGCAGCGAGTCTATTGGCCTTTACTGGGCAGTCCCGTTCACACCCAACCCCTATTGCTCATATATCCATCCAACCTATGTTTGAAGCTATCCAGCGTATTCGAGTCAATGATAATGTTTGGTAACTTGTTCCACTCATCCACTACACTATTTCCAAACTAATGTTTGCCTATCTCGCACCTAAATATAAATTCGTCTCATTTAAAACCATTGTTACGAATTCGCTCCTGGTTGGATAGTTTCAGTATCTAATATACTATAGGACTAGCCGTGTGTCTGTCTGTCTGTCTGTTCTGGGCAGCCGAAATTGGCGCAATCGTTTTTCATCAAACTTGGTGGAAAAATCGCAAAAATATCGTAGAGTGGAACAAACCTGGTCCAATGTCGATGGTTTCTTTAGGAAGGCATGAATTAACAATTTCATTTATGATGGAAAACGATGCAAGTCTACGGACTTGGCGCACCCTAATTAACCATGCAAGTTTACGGACTTGGCGCACCCTAATTAACCATGCAAGTTTACGGACTTGGCGCACCCTCATTCACTGTACGCTGTCATGAGCGTTCAAACTTTCACAAGGGCACGAAGGGCCCACGATCACTTGTCTTTGCTAAACTCGTATCACCTTTGTTTAGTCCTGCCTTGCATTTATTAACTTCTATCATATCGCCCCTCACTCTACGTCTCTCGAGGGAGTGCAAATTAAGATGTCTTAACATGTCTCTGTACTCAAAGTTCCTAATTCCCGGGATTAGTTTTTTCATTCTCCTCTGAATTCTTTCAAGGGATTCTATATCCATTCTGTAGGACGGTGACCAGAACTGAACTGCGTAATCCAAGTGAGGTCTCACAAGCGCAAGATATATTTTTAGGATAACCTCCCTAGTCTTATAGCTAATACCCCTTTGTATGAGCCCAAGTCCTTTGTTAGCCCTGTTTCGAGCAAATACACATTATTAACTTGGTTTAAGATCCCTATTTATCACTACTCTTAAATCTTTCTCACAGTCGGATTTCTCTATAACAACGTTGTTCATCTGATATCTGGTGTCTCTGTTTACATCTCCTAGACTAAGTACTTTACATTTGCATTTGTCCGCCACCAACTCTGATGTTACGTATGGGAGCAGAGTCCTCAATCAGCGGGTGAGCTTCAAAGTTTGTGACCTGCTCTGGAAGATATTAGGCTAATCCGGCAGATGACCTCACTGTAAGAGAAGGAATATATCATCTTAGGTGCACAGATAATTTGAGTGACAAGACATAAAATATATCGGGGAATAGACGTGATAATTCTAGAGAAACTGATAAAAAATAATTATATAACTAATAACACTAAAGGTTATAAAAGATAATACTGAGGGATACAGATGGTAACACTGGGGACACAGATGGTAACACTGGGGACACAGATGGTAACACTGGGGACACAGATGGTAACACTGGGGACACAACACACATTCACACACAGATGGTAACACTGGTGACACAGATGGTAACACTGGTGACACAGATGGTAACACTGGTGACACAGATGGTAACACTGGGGACACAGATGGTAACACTGGGGACACAGATGGTAACACTGGGGACACAGATGGTAACACTGGGGACACAACACACATTCACACACAGATGGTAACACTGGTGACACAGATGGTAACACTGGGGACACAGATGGTAACACTGTATTGGCCATGATGTAACACTGTATTACAGATGGAAACATTGGGGACACAACACACATTCACACAGATGGTAACACTGGTGATGATACAGATGGTAACACTGGTGACACAGACAACACACTGTATTACAGATGGTAACATCAGACACAGATGAAATAATTGGAGGACACAAATACATTGGATTCACACACACAGATGGTAACACTGGTGACACAGATGGTAACACTGGTGACACAGATGGTAACACTGGGGACACAGATGGTAACACTGGGGACACAGATGGTAACACTTGGGACACAGATAGTAACACTTGGGACACAGATGGTAACACTTGGGACACAGATGGTAACACTGGGGACACAGATGGTAATACTGGGGACACAGATGGTAACACTTGGGACACAGATGGTAATACTGGGGACACACAGATGGTAACACTGGCTACAGATGCAGTAACACTCAGATTGGCCAGATGGTAACACTGGGGACACAGATGGTAACACTGGTGACACAGATGGTAACACTGGTGACACAGATGGTAACACTGGGGACACAGATGGTAACACTGGTGACACAGATGGTAACACTTGGGACACAGATAGTAACACTTGGGACACAGATGGTAACACTTGGGACACAGATGGTAACACTGGGGATACAGATGGTAATACTGGGGACTCAGATGGTAACACTTGGGACATAGATGGTAATACTGGGGACACAGATGGTAACACTGGGGATACAGATGGTAACACTGGGGACACAGATAGTAACACTTGGGACACAGAAGGTAACACTTTGGACACAAATGGTAACACTGGGGACACAGATTCATTCCACTGGAAAGGCCTATGTTTTATTCCCTACAAAATGTATGTAAATAAATAAAATGATTAGCTTCGAAAGTTGAGAGCAGGGGAAAAAGTTTGCCAAAATATTAGGTATTTGAAATGATTAGAAATAATATTTACAGCCGACTTCGATCTCCACACTCTGTCAGTTAAAGTTAGAACGGTACGGTAGGGGAATAGAGAGAACGTCCCTTCTATTCTACGTCCGCATACCATTAACAGAGCAAATGAAGACAAATTGTATGGCATCAATGTACCAACACATATTAATTTACAGCATAATGTATTAGGGTGAGCTCAGATTATACTCCATTTCCTAAAACTCGCCGAGTTAAGAAAATTCAAAGAGGAAGGAATAGGAACGATTGATCAATGAGCGTAACAGTGGCTGGGTTCGACTGGTTACCAAAATGATGCCCTACTGTCCCGCTGCAGGGGGAGGGGGGGGCAAAGTTCACTTTTGCCAACTAAGGTTGAACGGATTATAAAATTACAATCACTCCAGTTTCTGAGAGGGAAAACAATGCATACAGAAAATTAATTCCTTCCCCCTCCCCTTGCCGTCCTCTTCCTCCCCCTCCCCTTTTTTCTCTTCCCCCCTTCCCTTCCCCTCTCATCCCTTTCCTTACTTCCCCTCTTTCTCTCTCCACCCTCCTCTGTTTCCCCTTTTCCTCTCCTCTGCCAGTTGTTGGAGGTAGTATTTTAGCTGTTTCTCCAACATGTGTTTGTGAACTCCAACATGTGCTTGTGAGCACCTGCAACATGTGTTTGTGAACTCCTCCAACATGTGTTTGTGAGCTGATCCAACATGTGATTGCTAGCTCCTCCAACAGGATGCGGGTTTCTAACACATATACAATAGTGGTTATGGACACCAGTCATGCTATCATGTTGGTAGGTATGAGAAAACTGTTAGAGGGTCGAGTGCTCTCGACCACGCTGAGTATAGAAAGCAACTACACTATTACCATATATATCATTAGGCTCTACTTTAACAGCAGGAGCATTCTTTGTTGCAGCACTATCACTAAATATTTTTTGTAATTGAGCTTTCATATTATCATAAGTTAGTGATGCTAACGTGGCTCTTGCTAATTGTTCGTGTGTATCAGACAGGTTAGCACTACGCAATAGTCTACAGTATATAGAAGCACACCATCAGGTAATACCAAATTAAAATGTTTTGCCTTTTGATACAATCGTTCAAACGTATATATATATAGTCAAATATGTGCATACCACCTGGATGCTGATATCTTTCAAAAGCATAATATGCTTCAAATGCAGCATTGCAGCATTACGTGCAGAACCATCCAGTGACAGGAACAATGCAGGGCATAATTTCTTTTTCTCCAGGTGAGTGAAGGCCCTCCATACTCGGACCTCATGCTTCCACTCGCTGTAGGGCAGGTTTTTCTTCATCGGTGGTGGGGCTTTATAATCTCGACTTGAGGCCACCTTCTCAAATGACAACTACGTTTTGCTACCAATGATTAAATCAAAATACAGTTCATTGGTTTCAGAATATATTTTAAGCCTCACCATATACTGTACCTGGAACACCAAAACCATTCATCAAAACAATATTATGCAACACACAACAAGCAATACAAAGAAGACATAGCATTATTACAATCAAATTAACATCCTCCATTCTTATTTCTTATGTTCTTATGTTTAAATCAACCCCCAAGTTCTTTTACTTCAACTGTAGCAATGGTTCAGCGGTCTGTAAGTGTTGCTTTCACAGTAGGGGTTCAACTGTTAAATATTTTACTATTCATCATGCATTCAATCACCAAATCAATGGACGGTAATGGTGAAGCATGTCATATATTTTGTAAATCTAAAACATTTGAGAGCTTTACTTGTTCTTCTGTGGCCTCTCCTCCTTTGTCTGTTAGAACAACTATCGCTCCAATAATTCCAGGGATCTTGATGGGTCCTTTGCTAGCACAAACTTTTCTCAGTGACAAATAACCCTATTCACTCAGATGCAAACGATTTAATTCTCCATAGATTTTAGGCAACAAATACTTGTCGCTAAAGAAAGACCTCACATGCATAGCCGAATGGGCTGCATCAAACTTTGTTATATTTAATGCTACAGAAACAAAAATACACTTGATTTTGTAAAAGACATGATACTTCATAACTCAACATGGATATTGACAGCACCATCATCCAATCCTCATTCAGTGTTAAGATCTTACCCGACAAACTTCATCTAATATTTAGCCAAAACTGCTTCAGTGAAGCTTGGACTCATACGTAGGCCCAGGCCCCATTTTATCTGTGAAGAGTTGGCAATAATTTATGTCGTCATGGGCGTTCCCAGATGGAATACTATCATGTGGGCTGAGTGTGAAGCAGGAATACTTCGCCCCCGTGATTCAGTGCAGAAGCCATCAAAACAATGAACAAGAATAAACTTCCCAGATAATTTTCCAGTGTGGCACATTCGCTGGGTTAACTTGTCACTCTCCCTATTATACAGGCACTTCCTCATTTAATGCTTTCACAATTTACCCTTAGTAATACCTCATCACGTTCCATCCATCGGGCTACGAGGGCATCTGGGGAACCTTGCCTAATTTACTGATATGCCGTACTCCCTGCCACAGTGTTCTTGGTGGATAAATTTGTCAGCATCTTTTCTCTGATATCTCCCTGTGTTCTTTATGTCTAGATGAAAAAGAGAATACAATGGGTGTAACGTGGTTGCAGGTGTATCCTCAAGCATCAAGTTGGGGTGATGGGGAGAAGTACTGTGCTGCCTTTAGTGGACACCTGACAAGTATTGGCTCTGACGCTGAGGAAGCCATCATAAAACTGTGAGTAACTCTTTTCTTCGATTATTTATTAATACTAAAAATAATTACCACTTTTGGGGGGCTAGATACTGGTGCATAAGTAAAGGTTATGCCTTACGTTTTCTTTTCAAAGTAAATTATGTCTATTTATAAAATGAATTTCATATTATCGAATTATTTGTAATTTATGAGAAGAGAATAAATACTGAAAGCACATGAAGTCTCTAATAAAGTAGAATTACGGATGAACTAGGAAGTATGATGAATGAATGACTGGACTGCACCTATAATTGAGAGTGTAGTAAATCACTTTAATTTATAATATAAGATATGTAATAAATAGATGCAAATATAGTTATTGGGAGGAGGGACAGTGTGAGGCAGGTGTATAGGACAATCAGAGGATGGGAGGAGAGACAGTGGGAGGCAGGTGTGTCGGACAATCAGAGGAGAGGAGGAGAGACAGTGGGAGGCAGGTGTGTCGGACAAGCATAGGAGGGGAGGGGAGACAGTGGGAGGCAGATGTGTAGGACAATCATAGGAGGGAGGAGGGACAGTGGGAGGCAGATGTGTAGGACAATCATAGGAGGGAGGAGGGACAGTGGGAGGCAGGTGTGTAGGACAATCATAGGAGGGGAGGGGAGACAGTGGGAGGCAGATGTGTAGGACAATCATAGGAGGGAGGAGGGACAGTGGGAGGCAGAGGTGTAGGACAATCATAGGAGGGAGGAGGGACAGTGGGAGGCAGAGGTGTAGGAGAGTGGTATAAGAAGATAAATATAAGAAGGAAGTAAAGTTTGACGTAGAATTGCCGCACAGACAAATTTGTTCCTTCATAAGCTCTGTTTTTACACACACAGTGTATAAATAAAGTGAATCTTAATCTTCCATAATTATTTATAACGTTTCATATTAGTGTACATATTGACATGAGTCATCAGAATTATTTATGCCAACACTTTATGTTGTTCGGCACAACACCTTTGTACACAACCCACAAATATATTGGGAAATTCTTTTTGTCAAACCTCCCTCGTTTTTTTTATCTACTGCAGGAATCTAACACCTACAGATGTTAGCAATAGCAAATATATCATTTATAGATGTCTGACAAACTTATCATTTAGAGAGATTAGGCAAATGTAATATTTGAAGATGTCAAGAAAATTTAACATTTACAGATATCAGGCACAGGTAACATTTACAGATGTAAGGCAAATTTAATAATTGTAGATGTTAGGCAAACCTAATATATTTACAGATGTCTGGTAAACCTAACATATCCAAATGTCAGACAACTTTAACATTTGCAGATGGTAGGCTTGCCTGACCTTTGTTAATGATAGGTTTTGTCATTAACAAAGGTCAGGCAAGCCTACCATTTACAAATGTCGGCAAGCCTAATATTTACAGATGTCAGGCACGCCTACCAAGCCTGCAAGCCTACGATTTGCAAGCCTACGATTTGCAGACGTCTGACAAACCTAATATTTATAAATGTCAGGCAAGCCTAACATTTTCAGATGTCAGGTAAACCTAATATTTACAGATGTCATGTAAGCCTTATGTATACAGTGTCTATCTTCTGAAGTCAGATCAGTTTTTATAAAACAGATTTTTATTTCCACAGACTGCCGGGAATGACGGATATCAAAGCAACTTATAATTCTGTATGGGTGGGTCTCAAGCTGGGATCTGATTCAGGTAAGCAAACGTAGTAAGACACGCGGACATGTTGATCAGTAAGCAAGTATGAGATTAATGTTTCAACCATGTTATTAGGTTTTTCTTCGTAAATTTTTTTTTAATTTTCATGTGTACAATAATAACGATGAATGTACACGTATGGCCAGTTAAAGGTATAACTAAATCCAAATGAGAAGAAGTAACAAATATAATTATATGCTTGTTTAAGCTGCCAATACACAAAAAAACAATGAAACCGAACTGGTTACTCTGAATCCAAATTCTCTAATATTCAGATGAAAAATTCGACAACTAAATTATTATTTTCGTCTGTGTGCTAGACTGAGCTGGTAACATCATTTTCGCTGTTACATAGTTCGATGGCTATTCAGGCCCAATGAAATGAAGAGGGACTCCTTTGGTTACGCATTACTTTTGAAATACCACTAAAACCACATATAGCACAGAAAATACCTTTAATTATCTACATTATATAATCACACAACCCTTGGCCTATGTCTCCAACCTGATAAATGTTTTTTGTTTCAACATATATATCTGTGCAAAGGAAGTCTGGAAGTTCCTAAAGAGAGAAATATGCTAAGGGTCTGAGAAAAATTAGTGAGCCAAAATATGAATTATTTTTTAAAATCTGGCACAGAAAACGAAATTGTCCTTGAAACGCAATTAATGAATCCTAAAATAATAACTTGTAACTTCGTTCTGCTGAGCACAGATATTTAAGAATAAGATAACAATCGTTATGCCATCACTCCACTTGATCAGAATTTTACCACTGTAGTGCGTTTTTCCCAGCTGAGAAGAGATACCCCGCCCCCTCCTCAAGAGTTACAGCTGATTGGTTGTTGCAAATCTGTCCAATTTCGTCCTGAAGTAATAATATATTACTAAATGAGTTTATTCATAATCGTTGGGATGACCATTTCTGAGGAGAAAAATATTTAACTAAATTATATAAAGATACATACATTCATTATTTCAAACATAAACACGCAGGAAGTTTATCAGATGTCTTATGCATGCATTAGATTTAGATTTTTTTTTAGATTGCCCCCGAGGGGGCTAGTTTATTGGGCACCCCCTTACATCTTGTGCAAGGTGAAGCGCAGAAGCGTTTACAGCGCTCACCTGGGAAGCATGCTAAGTTCATGCTTGCCTTTATGACTCATGCATTAAGGGCGTAGAAGCCTGAAGGGTCATAGGTTTTGTCAGCCAGTTACATAAAGTGACAGAATGGTGAGTGTGTGGGGGGAAAGTTCCCGGTATATTTTATCTGTTTATGGCAAAGCGTGGCAGGTCCCTAATAATGCCAAGTGCCAGGTCTGTTACTAGGAGGAGGGATATCTGGTCAGGGAGGGAAGAGGTGTTGGTAACGGCTGGGGACCTGTAGGAGGAGGTCATAGGGCAAGTGAGGAAGTAGTGAGAGAGGGTGTGAGAGTCGGGTTGGCCACAAAGTTTACAAACAGTGCGGCCAGGCTCAGGGTTGCCAATGTACTCCCATAGGTACCTGTACCCTAGGCGCAGTCTCATGTACATAATCTGTTGAGATCGAGTCAGGGATTGATACACTTTGTAGTGGCGGTTGTCGTCACCGGTTACAGCGTCATAGTGGCGTAGTGTGACGCTACCCCATTGTTTCAGGTGTGTCCAATTTTCGTCGAATGCTTCTCGTTGTGCGGCGTGTATGCGAGATTTGAGATGATTCGGAGAAATTGCGAGGGTGGCTTCAATATCTTCTTATGTCGCTTCTTTGGGAAGCCGATCAACAGTGTCACAGGCAGTTATTCCTATATGTGACGGGATCCAAATAAACTTGACACGGATGTCATCAGTTTGTTCTAGCCCGGTGACAGCGGCTAGGGTGTGTTGGGCGGCAGGGGAGGAGGGGAGGGTAATTTGAGCCTCGCTAGCGCAGAAGTGCTGTCACTGATCATAAGGAATTCCGGCGTTCAGTGCGAGCATAGGTCGCCCCCTCATAAATGCCCGCGAGGATGGCTAAGTTCTCAGTGCCAGTGGAGGGGGCCCAGTTGTGGACCCTGATTATCCTGCGGGCCTGACTCTCAGGAATCCACACAGCTGCCCCAGCGCTGCCCAGCGTGGTAAGAGACCCATTACAGTAGACGAGGATAGGAGGGTGGGAAGTCGTAAGAGAGGAGGCGACATCATTAATCTGCTCAAGGCAGTTAAATTTGAGCATATACCGCAGTTGGGTGGATTTACGACCAGGGAAGGTGTGGACGACAACATCAACACTCGAGGAAGTCCACGGCGGTAGAGGCGGATGTGTGTACTCGGGAGGGACAGAGGTCGAGGGGGAGTAGAGGTGATAACGCAGGATGTCAGCAGCAGTGTGGACGGGCCAGTGTTGAGAGGGGGAGGGAAAGGCAATGGGGACAGACCGGCACAGGAGGGTGTTAAGATATGAGTTCAGTGAGCGCGACAGGGGAGTCGGTTGCTCACTGCGAAGAAGTTTAACACCAAGGATGGCATAGAGAGCAGTAATTCGATTGCAGACGGGGAGCGGGATCAGTTCACGCTGCATGACTTCTATTCTGGTAGTCATAGGCCAGCAGAGGATGAGTCTCATCGCTCTGTTTTGGATTCTCTCTATGCCTTGTTTCTCGCGCTGGGAGGCAACTACAAGGACAGGAGAGGCATAATCTATGACAGCTCTGACGATTACAATGTACATGAGACGTAGGACCCTGACAGATGCTCCTTTGAGGCCGTGGGTGAGGGATTAGAGGGGCATCGTTCGTTGGCGGAACTGGGAGATGACGTGGGCGGCGACAGCGGAGGTGGTGGCTCTGGTAGTGGCTCGCACTGGTAGACCAAGGTACCTGTAGGTGCATACTTGATCGATGTCTTGTCCTTGCAGAGTCAGCGGTGTCTGACGCTGGAAGCGTGATATAAACTTGGTTTTAGTGTGTGAGATAACTAGCCCGAGTGTTTGACAGGTCCGGGCGAACGTGGAGAGTATAGGTTGTTCATGTTGCACTGTAGTAATTTGGAGGAGAATATCGTCAGCGTAGCTTATGATGTGACCGTCTAGGGCGCGCTCAGTAAAGATGTCGTTGAGGCGGCAGATGGAGTTCATATGAACATTAAAGAGTGTAGGGCTGAGCACATCTCCCTGAGGCGTGCCAAGATCAAGGTCCCTGATCGTAGAGTAGTGGACCTGAAAACGGACACGGGCCTGTCGATGAGAGAGGTAGTCAGCAATACACGTGAGGAGTTTGCCCTTCACATCAATGTGAGGCCCTCAAGGATCACTTCACTGCTGGCTTTCTCAAAAGCACCCTTGAAGTCGATGAAGAGGGAGGTTTTGGCTGAGGTGTTCGCCATGTGGAGGCAGTGGCATATCATGCGCTCCATCATCTTTGAGAAACAGGAGATGAGGGAGCTTGGACGATATTCATCTTGTCTGCCTGGTTTAGGGACTGGGATGGTGGTGGCAGTCTTCCATAAGTGAGGCAGCTGTCCAATGTATCTAAAGAGAGGTTAAATAGACAGAGGGGGGGGGGTTACCAGGGGTGGCAATAAGGGCATTTAGCACATCATATGTGGCGCCGTCATCGCCAGGGGCAGTGGACCGACCGCGCTTAACAGCATTTAGTAGTTCACACTGTGTGAAAGGCACGTCAGTGTCTGCAGATAGGTCTTGGTACTCGGAGATGCGCTGTCGGCGTTGTAGTTGCAGTGCGAGGGTGAAGTCTCGTACAGCGGGTGGTAGCGCATCGATGGAGGCGGCCTCCTGCCACGTCTGGGAAATCGCCTCGGCTCGGGGAGCTGGTCTGGGGTGGAACGCGGGTCTGGCGTTGGTGCCCCGGGCACGGTTAATGGTGTGCCATATATCACCTATAGATGTAGACTGGTCAATAGAAGAAGCAAAATCATACCACTGCTTCTCTCGTACGAGAGTGATGGCAGATTGGAGCTCTTTATTTGTGACCATCAGCAAGCGTAGAGCGTCAGGGGAGCTAGGAGATTTCTTCCACTGGTCGACTGCTAGTCGGTGCCATACTCGGATAGACTTAGCATGAAGGTCGCGGTTAACATTCCACTGACTCCTGGGCTGGCAGTTAGGGCGGCGGTGTTTTGGGTCAAGGCGGAAGTCAGTGCATTGTTTGGACAGATCAAGGTAGAGTTGGTCTGCGGTGGTGACAGTATAACCCTGAAACCATTCAGCAATGGTAGTGATGAAGGCAGGTATGTTGGCAGGGGGTAGGCTGAGCCTAGGGCCCTTGGGTGGGGCGAGTATTCTCACGTACTGGAGGGTAGTGTGGATAGGGAAATGGTCACTGTGGGGGGAGTGGAGGATGCGGGTGGAATGTAAGTGGTGAAGGTCAGAGTAGAGGGCGATGTAGTCAAGTTTCCCTCCCCCGATGTGGGTGGGTGATGGAGGGCAGAGAAGACGTACAGGGTCATCAGTGGTTTGTAGGTTGGAGAGCCAGGGGTTACCCCGGGAGTTTGAGTGGGGCCCCTGGGAGCCGAGACTGGGGTATCGGGCATTGAGGTCCCCCACAAGGAGGGTGGGGGTGGAGGTGATATGGTGTGGTAGAACACATACAGTAGGGGTGAAGGGAGGCACAAAGACATTGACAATAATGAGGGACATATCTTTTAGTGTGATTGTGATGACGTGTGCGTTGGTGGTGTCGTCATCAAGGAGGACGTCGAGAGGTTGGTAGGGGACATCCTTCTTGGCGCAGATGCGTAGTCTACATGCATGGCCTCGTAGTAGTCCATCGATGCGAAGAACAGGGGTGGATGGGCACTCAACACATGTGTAGCCACTGAGCACATAGGTACCAGCAGCACACCGCGTTTCTTGGAGGCACAGCACGTCGACATCTTCAGTGTAGACGTAGGTTTTGAGGGCACCAAACTTGTTTTGCAAGCCGTTTATGTTCCAGGTGAATACCTGCAATCCTGTAGCGTTGCTATCCATTGTTGTGTATTAGACTGATTACCCCTGACGTGGACGGATGGGCCTTAGATGCCGGCATGTCGGTTGAATATGGGTAGCCGGGGGTGGAGTCCTCAGTTCCAATAGGTAGCCCTGGTGAATACAGCACAGACACAGGAGCGGGCGTGGCTTGCGGTGGGTAGATAGGTTGAGGCATCATGTGACGTGAAGATGAGGCAGGGCTTGGCTCGGGGGCAGCAGTACACACAGGCCGTGAGCAGGGGGGCTCACAGGAGGACTACTAGCTTGTGTTAAACCAGAAGAGGGGAGTCACTGGGTGGCAACAGAGGGCAAGAGTTGGTGGTGTAGGTCGGAGATGGCAGTTG